TGTGGTAGAAGGCCTCTCCCCGCTATGGTGAAGGAGGAGCGAATGCAAGCGCAATTGATTCGTGAACGTTTTCTGAGGAGAATCCCACAGAAATGATCTCACCTCCTTTAGATCCCTTTCACCATACCTTTGCCTCCTGACTTTCTCACATGGGACTTGGATCCCTGTGACTATCCCATTTTATTCTGCTGGATCAAACCAAAGGTCCCCTATTCTGTTTCTAATATTGACCCATCAGAGGCCCTTAGGATGTAACCATGGAGAAATCGGGTTCCCCCAGGACCCCCACCCAGAATCACTCAGAAATGAGGATTAATATTGCAAATGTGGTGAGGGATATGAGAGACATAGTTCAGTGGTTTTGTCGTAAATCTGACGCAAGTAGGCTTGCCAAGTCCCCCCGGGCCCCGGGGGGAACCCCACCCCCAAAGCACGCAACGTGCACGTCACCCGGAAGTGACGCGGGCTCGCCGGGCACGGGACCACAGTCATCCGAAGCAAAACTCTATGGTTTTCCCTTGGATGGTCGTGCCCCCCCCAGCATGCCCGGCGTGGTCGCATCACTTCCGGGTGACGGGGTTGCGGCGCGCACGCACGCACTCCCGAAGCAGCGCTTGAGTCCCCCGCTCCAGCGCCGCTTCTGAGTTGGCAACCCTAGGCGCAAGCAATGAAGGGAAGTGGTATAGAAATGTAGTAACTAAATACAAATCTGGTATTATGCTACCTCAGAACCTACATATCCCATTGAGAGACTGATTGTCTATACATTTGTCCTTAAAAAAAAAATAATGGTGGGTAATTTGCCTGTAGGTGCATGACACAGGGTACCAAGTTAATGCCAGGACACCATGAACAAATATCTGAACCCATGTCTCTGGGCCTAAGTCCTGCACTCTTACGACTACGTTGTAATGTGAAACCATAAACGGAGTTGTGAGGAGAAACCTGGCAATGCTTTCGCCTCCTCAGCCCTCACTTTTTAATATGGTTTAGCCTTCAAGGGTGACGCTTGCTTCCTCAGCCAAGTGAGAATTGTCCCCCTTTAATGCAATTTAATAATAAGGAGCTGCGGTGGCTCAAGTGGTTAAGACCCTGAACTGCAGGCTGTGGAAGGTCAGTAGTTCAGCAGTTCGAGACCCGGGTGCCACATGACGGAGTGAGCTCCCGTCTCTAGTTCCGGCTCCTGCCAACCTAGCAGTTCGAAAGCAAGAAATTGCAAGTAGATAAATAGGTACCACTTTGGTGGGAAGGTAACAGCGTTCCGTGTGCCCTGGTGTTTAGTCATGCCAGCCACATGACCACGGAAACGTCTTCTGACAGCGCTGGCTCTTCGGCTTGGAAACGGAGATGAGCACCGCAACCCTAGAGTCGGACTCGACTGGCTTTTGAGCAAGGGAGCCTTTACCTTTTTAATGCAATTTAATACACTTGAAATAATGGAGAAATGTGGCAACCAGTTGTACTTTTTCACACACACGCTACCCTACAGAATGGGGATTTCAGTTGACGGTGGGTAGTTGGGAGTCACATGACCACACGGAAGTGGCAAAGCTACCGCAAGGCGGGGAAGGGGAAGCTAATTGTCTGAAGGTGAATTGTCATCACCACAGATGTGGCACACAACACTGTCTCTTTAAAAGCCTAAAAAGTTTGGCATGCAGCGAACAGAAGTCTGGGATGAGACCAACTAACCAACTCACATGGGGTTGCCAGCTTCCAGGTGGGGCCTGGACATTGCTCAGGATTACAACTGATCTCTGGACCAGTTCCCCTTAGAGAAAATGGCAGCATTGAATGGTGGACTTTATAGCATCATACCCTGCTGAAACTCTGCCCTCCTCAGGGTCCACCTCCAAAATCTTCTGGTATTTCCCAATCCAGAGCTGGAAACCCTAAGGTCCAGGCATCATGCCAGAGACCCTCCATACCCCATTGTTTGTTTTGCGGCTTTGTTGCCATTTCTTGATTCCTACATAGATCCAGGGCCGGCTCGCTCACTAGGTGTTCGCCTAGAGTGCCCCGGCCCTTAGGGGTGCCAAACTGCACCCACCCCCCGCCAAAAGCGCCCCTGCTGGCTCTGACAGGGGCGCACGGGGGGGGGGGCGCCAGAAGGGATCCTCGCCTAGGGGGCAAAATATGCTGGGGCCGGCCCTGCATAGATCTATCAGATGTACAGAGCTGAGAAGTGGTCATAATTTTGGAGAAACTCAGCTGGACAAAATCCACGGCTATACGGCTCCAGACAAGTTAGGCGAAACAAGATAAAATTGTAGACAGGAACTAGGATTGCCAGCCCCCAGGTGGGTCCTGGAGATCTCCCAGAATTACAACTGATCTCCGGACTACACAGAGCAGTTTCCCTGGAGAAAATGGTTACTTTGGACTCTATGGCCTTCTACTCTACCGAGGTCCCGGCCTTCCCCAGACGCCACGCTCCGAAATCTCCACAAATCTCCCAGCCCAGAGTTGACAACCCTATCATGAAGCCAAGGTAGGCTGTTAGACTGAAGATAGCACATGGAAAGCCGATTTGCACATTCAGCTCGATGCACGAGGGCACGGTGTTCTCGATGCACGATGGCATTGGTGTTCTGTATCTATGACAAACACCTCTGCAATCACACACACGAAATTGTCCACTTTCAATCCACTTTCGATGCACTTTCAAACTGGATTTTGCCAGTTCACACGGGGTGATTCTGCATTTGGCTTTTCCCTCCGTTGTTTTACCAGACCCACGTTGGAACAGAAATTCCCCTCTGCATTGCATGCCGCTTTCGCTTCCTTTGATAACCGGGTTTTATGGTACCTTCTGCATAGATTGATGGCTGTTCAGTGGTGATTTCGCAGACAGTATGGTGTTGCCCCCGGGGGGTATTGGAATGTGGTTTTGAACTGCACCTTTGGTAAAACCAGGGCTATTTTTGGGCAGGAACGCACAGGAACGGAGTTCCGGCTGGCTCCCAAGTTGGCCACGCCCAGCAGGAACTCATTAGCATAATAGGCCACACCCAACATCAGGAACTCATTAGGATTGGCTACATTAGGGGTGTGTGGCCTAACATGCAAAGGGGTTCCTGCTACAAAAAAGGCCCTGGGTTTTGACAACAAGCAAGGTAAACAGAATAAGAAGCAAAAGGTGGGTGGATGACCACACTTCTGGTAACACGGGGGTGTGGCCTAATATGCTAATGAGCTGCACTTTCAGGGGTGTGGCCTAATAGGCTAATGAGTTCCTGCTGTTGGGTGTGGCCTATTATGCTAATGAGTTCCTGCTGGGCTTTTTCTACAAAAAGAGCCCTGGACCGTAAAACAACGGAAGGAAAAGCCAGTGCAGAGCTGCCCACAGTAAAATCCAGTTGGAAAGTGCATTGGAAGTGGATTGAAAGTGGATTATTTAGTGTGCGTGATCGCAAATCTGCAATTGCTGTGTGCAGATAGGTCCGTGCATTTCCATCCATCTTGGAACAGAGGTGGGAATACATGTACAACACACACTTCCGCACAACTATCTCTGGATCAGGGGCAGATTGCTTTTGCTTTCCTGTTACAGCCAATGCATCGCTGGAAGTAAACGAGACAGCATCCAAAGCAAACCCTTTAATAATTCGTCTTAAATAACATGACAAGGTTCAACTTATGAACATTTACATCCATTAAAAGGCAGTACATTGTAGGTTGTGTATGCATTTCTTTAATAATGTAAAGCTAGTGCACGTGTGTGAAACAAACAAACAAACAAAAAATATGAAACGAGTTTTCTCTTATCAGTATGGTACCCTTCACATGGCATGCCCAATAGCATGGGGACTCATTCAGGTTGGGGTGATCCCATGATGCAGTGTGTGTGTGGGAATAATGTGATCATTGCAACTGGACAAATTCCAGGGATCGCACAAGCCTCATTTTGCTTGTGAACACTTCTGGAACTTTCAGAAAAGGAAGTGGGTGCAGTTCACAAAATGGCTGCCGTGAAGGCTGATCAAAACACTGGATGCTTCCAAGCCAAAATTGGTATTTCCTGCTTTTTTAAAACACACACACACACACACACAACACAACAACTGGAGATGCTGACAATAGAAGCTTGGACCTTCTGCATGCCGAGATGAGACACACCCCCTCTGAAAGACTTCCTGGTCCAAGAAAGCTGAGGAATGCTGGGATTGTCTCTTTGTTTGGGGGAAGGGGCACCGTTGAGCTTTGGCTTCCAGTGGAAGAGGAAGGTTTGCTGCCTACACGGCCACCGTGAGAAGTGCTGAGCCCCCCAAACATCAGAAAGTCTGTGCTGATGGCCAAGGTGAGGCCTCAGAGCTGTGACCCATGTGTAACACTCACGGGAGCAAGCCCTTGTGTTTTGTGTCCTGCTCTGTTCAAAAGCCACTAGAGGGTTGCCAATTCCAGGTTGGGAAATCCCTGGATTTTTTTTTTTTTGAGAATGGAGCCTGGGGGTGGGCAGGGTGAGGGATCTCCGTGGGCTGTAATGCCCTACAGTACAACTTCCAGAGCAGCCATTTCCTCCAGGGGAACTGCCCTGCATAGTCTGGAGATGAGTTGTAATTCTGGGATATCTCCAAGGTCCACCTGGAGCTTTGGCAACTCTATCCCAAGCCTTAAGAGGCAAGTGGGAAACACTTTGAGGGGGGCACCATGACCGGTGGGCACCATGACCGGTGGGCACCATGACCGGTGGGCACCATGACCAGTGGGGACCACGTTGGGGATTGCTGGGGAATTCCATGTGAAGGGCACGCATGTGAAGGGCGCATATCCCAGCAGACTGAGAAGTCCTCGCCATCGGGATGAAAAGTGAAGTGTAGCAGCATCGGATAACAACAGCAGCATCAGTTATGAACAAAACAGGCTTTTAAATACGACCGAGCCATGCTCCCGTTCTCGTAATCTTCTCCGTGTAAGGTTTCCCAAACAACATAAATATACAACATTTCCCTCCCCCCCCCCCCCCCCACCCCTTGGCCTGACTTGAAAGGGTGCCCTGCAGAAACTGGGAGAAGTGCATCTTTCGAGAGGAATAACATTAAAGTATTTACAGGCATCGTTCTGAAGTGTTGAAGGATACAGGTATATAAGTTAATAAAACAGACCAAAATAAAATAAAATAAACATGTACAATAAATAATTGCACAGTCGTAGACCGGGCAATAAGGGAGAATATGAAAGCAGCTCATGTACATTCGGAGGTGTGACGGGCCAGTTGCGCTACCATTCATCGTTGTGCCTAACGTTGACAGTGCAGGCAGACAAGACTTTCTCAGATCTTCCCAACGAACGATGACGTTCTTGCCTAAAAGTCGCAGTCCCGCGAGCACTTCCTTGGAGTAAGTCCCCATTGAGATCTATCGGATTCTCTACTTCTGAGTAAGCATGCATGAGATTGGGAGGGGGGCTGTCAGCCAATCATGTGTTTAGTCGGCTGAAGGATGTCTTGGCTCCAGAATAAAGACGCTTAAGCGTGCAAGAGATTTGGGATCTACTTGTGAAAAATTGGCAGCATATTACAGGTCTTATTCTTGCGTGCTCAGATATTGTTCACAGTCGGGGTCGCCTGTCATCTCGGGGGATCCAGGGATCCTCCTCCCGTTTTTTGGATAAACACACCAGCAGCCAGCAGGGTTTCCATCAAGTGAGGTTTCACACTAGAAGACAAGAAGAGAGAAGAGACTGGATTTAGGAATGCAGGATTTAGTCGCCTTGTCGATTTAATAGATAAAGGGGCAATACGGGACAAGCAATACGGGACAAGCAATACTTCGACCGGAAATTGGGGAGACAGATCCCATGGTTCCAATATTTGCAGCTGAAAAATCTTATTGAACAGCTCTCGGAACTGGGAACTTTCCGAAGAGAACTGACTGACTTTGAAAAAATAATTAAATGTTGTTCCAACTCGCCGAAAGGTACGCTAACACCTAATTCCAAATTTGAAGCTATCTGGTTTCCGATATTCAATTATCTTGTGGCACATGACATACTACCTGCAAACCTAAACTACCATAAATGGCTTTTGCTGTAAAGGTTTAGTTCATTTGCTGGTTAGAAAAAAGTTATTGATTGTCACTCTTATTACTCTATTTCTGTAAACCAATGTTCATTCGTACTGTATCTCTACGTGGTAAGGCTTAGCTTCTCACTGACATAGACTTATTCCTCTGAGTGTTATTGTAACATACTTCTATGATGTTGTTGTTAGATTATTGACAAAATAAATAAACAAATTTTAAAAAGAGAGAGAGATTGGACTTATACCCCGCCCTTCATGACCCAAAGGAGTCTCAGAGCGGCTTACAAACT